GGTGATCCCAGCGCTGGGATCTGTGCACCACTTAGGAAGGGGCGTCGTTTCCGTGAGCGCAGCCTTCCCTTCCCCAGCACGGCTGCTCTTAAATCACTTCCCCAGTGTCTTGGATCGGGCTCGCTGAAGTGCGAGGTCAGAGGATCCATGCGGCACTAAATCACTTTTGGCTAAGCTGCTTGCGCGGCTGCACCAGTAAGGTGTGCTTTTAAACCGATGGAAGGTGTGTCTCCACCGGACGCAGGGATGCCTGCCTGAGCTGGAAATCACCCCTTCCGCTCCCGTGTAGACACGCCTGCGGACACCCTGATGGCAGTTCAGTTGAAGCCGATTAGGATCAGCCTGAACTGAAATCAGAGCGTCACCACACGGGTTGGCATCAAGTGAACGAAACCGATTTAACTGATCCAGTGCGAATGTGCGTAGAGACGAGGCCTCGCCCAGTCAGACTGCGTAAACCGGTTCTCGGACGGCGGTCCTTGCCCCTCCAGTCTCCTTCCAGCTTTAGAATGGATTTTGTTTTTTCGTTTTTGTTGCTCTCATGTCGTGTATTTGAGTTTGTGCCATTTCACCTCATCTTACGTTTTTCTCCATTTTCACACTGTCGTTACGGGGTGCTCAGAGGTAGGTTCCTGCCGAAATCTTCTTAATTCCGTTTAAAGTGTTCAGTAAATAAATCAACCAACCAACCTGGAGCAGAGGGGATGGGGGCGTGGGTGAGAGACCGACCCGGACAGTCCTTCTGAATCTCGTCAGCTGAATCGGCTGCCCCCGGGCACAGAGAGAGACAGGGTTAAATATTACCGCATCCGGGACCCATGCATGGCTCATATTTAGCTCCAAGTTCTACCCTCGCCCCATCTGCTTCTGCAAATTGACCCAGATTGGTCTGCTCTCCCCAGCCTCAGCCCCCATCTGCACCTCCCCTCCCACCCTCTTGATGCCTCCAGAGGGGACATGGCGCATGATCTCCCCCGGGTGGAGCAGGAGATGGGGGTGGAAGTAATTCAGCGGTTCCTCCAGGCTGGGGCAGGGCCATGGGGCCAGCAAAGCCACGCGTTGTGGGGGCGGGAGCAGATCCCCGTTCCAAGCAGGTATTGCTGTGACATTCAGAGCAGCTCCGCGCACAGCGAGGGAGTGCCAGGAGACACGTCGGGCCCCCCGTGCCAGCATACCCGTTGGCACTCTCTGCGTTCCTGGGCATCACCCCACCAGGCCCGAGCTCTGCTGTGGGAGCCAGCAGCTCTGAGGTGCGCCCTCAGCTCTAGGAGACGCAGTTTAAACACGTTCCACCTGTCCCACAGCCAGTGCATGAGCGCCGTAGCCGCTGACCGGTCAGTCTCGGCCTGTCCCTGAACGGGAGCGCCCCCTGCTCCCGGGAGGTGGGGATTAGGGATGGAGCTGCAGCCGGAGGGGGTAGCTAGAGCTGGGACTGTTCCTCCTTCCCTTCCCCCTCGTCCCTCTGGGGAAGCTGGGATGGTTCGGGGCCGGGGGTGGCATTTGAAGTCAATATGAGCCATGCACCTCTCTGGGCATTTCCCCGGCTCGGCTTGCTCCCCCGGCGCCGCTGAATGAGTGTCTGTGTCCGCACCCCCCCCGCCCGGTTAGCCTCACCGCTCACCGGGGACGCCCCGTCTTCTCTCCCCTCTGCCTCCAGCGCCCAGGCCCTGCTCGGAGAGCGAGTTCTCCTGCGCCAACGGGCGCTGCATCGCCGGCCGGTGGAAGTGTGACGGGGACCACGACTGTGCCGACGGCTCCGACGAGGTATGGACGGGGAGAGGGGGCGGCTTCCCCCCACCAGCCAGCCCTGGCCTGCCCCTCTCAGCTCTGGGGCCCACCTGCTGCAGCTGGGGCCTCCTGCTCGTGGGTAACCGGCCTGGCACCGGGGCTGGCTGTGCGCTAGCAGCTAGGACCAGACAGGCGCCCCCTCTGCCAGAGCCCACCCCCCATTTTCGCCCTGGCGGGGTTTTCTCCCTGCCCCCGCTCACCCGCCATCTCCTCCCGCCCTGCAGAAGGACTGCACGCTGCGCTGCGACTTCGACCAGTTCCAATGCAAGAACGGGCACTGCATCCCCATGCGCTGGCGCTGCGACGCCGACGCCGACTGCATGGATGGCAGCGACGAGGAGAACTGCGGCACCGGAGGTAACAGCAGCGCGGGCGAAGGGCGCGTGCGCAAACACACACACACACACATCTCCACGCCTCATGGCTGTGTTAACCCTGGAGCCTAATGAGGGAGCCAGCCATGCTGGCGTGCGACCACGCGCCCAAGCTGCACGTGCAGTCGGGCGTTTGCATTGCAGGGCCTGCCAATATAGAAGGGGCAAGAACCTGCCGCTGGGTGTCTGCCCCCCAGATCCATGGGCCTGCTGTGGCTGGATGGGGGGCGCTGCCCCTGGCCTGGGCTCCGTCTCCTGGGCTCCTTTCCAATCAGTCGGCCAAGAGGGCTCCAGCGAGCTCCTGTCCCCCTCCCTGCCCCCGTCGCGGCCCCCTCCCCACGAGCGCGGGCCCTGACGCGCCCGTCTCCCCCTCCCCATAGTGCGCACCTGCCCCCTGGACGAGTTCCAGTGCAACAACACCCTGTGCAAGCCGCTGGCATGGAAGTGCGATGGGGAGGACGACTGTGGGGACAATTCGGACGAGAACCCCGAGGAGTGCTGTGAGTGTCCCCCGTCCCGCCCGGCCTCCTGTCCTCCCGCTCCCTGGCTAACCCGCCTCCACATGCTGGGGAAGGGTGCGCTGCTGGAGGGGGTGGGGCTTCATGCTGCTGGGGGCGGGGCTCTGGGAGGCGTGGCCAGACCACGTGAGGCCAGACCACGTGAGGCCAAACCCGGACGGGGTGGGCGGCGCCCTGAGCTGACCCAAAGAATTCTCTGTCCCTGCTGGTGTCGTGCTCAGGGTCAGCCTGTTGCCAGCTTGGGGTGGGCAGGAAGGAATTTGATCCCCGGTCCGATCGGCAGGGATCGGGGGAGCAGAGAGTTTGGAGGTTAGCGTGGAGGGGCCCCAGTTTGGGGTGGGGGGAGCACTGGGTCGGGGCTGGAGCCTGGGGGCCTTTTGCCTCCCTCTGCCCCATGAGGCATGGATCACCGGCTCTCCCACCCAGGCGATTCCCTGTCATCGCCGGGCCCTGGGGGGCCCTGGTCTCCGCCTGTGGCTCGCAGCTCTTCCAAGGGCTGAGATGTTTGAGTCGGGTTGAGACGGGGGAGGCGGGTGCCGGTAACGCCCGTGCTCTGCAGTGGGGCAGACTCCGTGAGCTGATGGCCTGGCCCCCGAGTGCTTGTGAGCGGTTCACAGAGCCCAAAGGGACTGGCCTAGGGGCGAGGCCAAGGCTGGGGGGCCAACAAGCCAGGGAAGGGGCAGAATGTCAATGGGGGGTCACTTCTGGAGGGGGAGCAGAGGTTTTGGGGCGGTCAGCCCAGGAGGGGGCACAGTCTGGGGGGAGTGGAGCGGAGTTTATGGGGCTCTGAGCCTGGGGAATTTCCAGGGAGTTCGGGGTCAGCCCCAGTTTGGAGCCAGGTTCTCCAGCCGGGCCCTGCGATGGAGTCCGAGTCCTGGCACCTGGGCACGTTTGGGGGGGCGGGGGGGGGGGCTGAGCCAGGCAGCAGCGTCTCCGTTCACCGGCTCCGCCTGTCTGTCGCCGGTGCAGTGAGGTTCCAGTGCCCGCCCGGCCGACCGTTCCGCTGCAAGAACGACCGCGTGTGCCTGTGGATCGGGCGTCAGTGCGACGGCATCGACAACTGCGGGGACGGCACGGATGAGCGAGACTGCGGTGAGCAGCCCTGAGGTCACTGCCACTGCCCCACTCTAGAGATGGGCGGAGTCAGGCCCGGGCGGGAGCCCCACCTTAGCCACAGCCACAGAGCAAGTCACATGTAGAGCCAGGAACGGAACCCAGGAGTCCTGGCTCCCAGCCCTCCGCTCTAACCACTAGATCCCTGTCTGCTCCCAGAGCCAGGGACAGAACCCAGGAGTCCTGGCTCCCAGCCCTCCGCTCTAACCACTAGATCCCTGTCTGCTCCCAGAGCCAGGAATAGAACCCAGGAGTCCTGGCTCCCAGGCCTCTGCTGTAGTCACTAACCCCCCCCCGTGTCCCATCGTTTCCTTCCTGGGGCAGGGAACGTGTGTCTGTCTGTGGGGCCGGGGTCAGTGGCCCTTAGCCCCCGGGGCTGCTCCCATGCTCTGGTCTCAAGCCCACTCCCCTGCCGGCCCCCACAGAGTTGCCCACCGCCAGGCCCAAGAGCTGCAGCCACGAGAAGAGCGAATTCCTCTGCAAGAACAAGAAATGCATCAGCTCCCTCCTGCGCTGCAACTTCTTCGACGACTGCGGGGACGGCTCGGACGAGGAGCCGTGTTCCCACGGCGGTGAGTGGGGTGTAAAGCTAGTCTCTCTCACCACACGTTGTAATAGTTCACAGGCTGGATTTCCCGTCAGCCAGGGACCCCTCCCCCAGGTCAGAGTCCTTCCAGTGTTCGTTGATGTCCTGAGCAGAGAGATGGGAGAAGGAGGGGGGGCAGCGGACGTGAGGGTTGAACCTTCTCTGTGAGGAAATGTAAATTTCTTGTTTACATCTTCCTGCTGCTGAAGAACGGTTGCTTAAGCTGGTGATCGCTCTTTAACACCTGTCTGGGGTGCTAGTGTGTCTTTGTCCCTGAAAAACTAGCTTGCATCTGCTTGTCTGAACCTTGGAACAGTTTATAACAACGATACATAGTAGAATCTTATAGTTTCACATACAGCGTTGATACACATATTGTACCAGGACGATAATGTTCAGCAGATTATGAGTTTTCAGATGATTCCTCGCAAGGTATTCTTTGTACAAAATGTATCATAGTATTGTAAAAGTGGTGACCATAATAGTACAGACCGTCACAGAGGGCAAGGCTGGGCTAGCAGGGGGTTGTGGGTCGGGAATGAGGGGCACCGGCAGAGCTGGGGGGAGCCCAGGGCTGGGCTAGCAGGGGGCTGTGGGTCAGGAGTGAGGGGCACCAGCAGGGCTTGGGGGAGCCCAGGGCTGGGCTAGCAGGGGGAGCTCTCTCCTCCGAGGTTTTGCTCTGTCAGGGCTGGGCCAGTGTTCCCAGGAGGCCTGAAATCTGTTCTCCTATTGAGGTCCCAGGTTCGCCCACAGATGCCACCCGGGAGGGAGGGAGGGGGGTGCTGGCTCCGGGGCAGCACAGCAGTTGGTACAGTCCTTGGTCCCATGGCCGCGCCCTGACGAGCCGCTGGGCCCTTCGTCCCCCTTGCAGATCCCAATCCGTACAGCTGCCACACCAACGGGACCATGTGCGGGGACGAGGCCAAGTGCATCCAGTCCCAGACGACCGTCTACTGCACCTGCCGCAGCGGCTTCCAGAAAGCACCTGACAAAAACACCTGCCAAGGTACCAGGCCGCTGGGTGCAGGGCTGTGCTGGGGGGAAGCCAGGACGGAGCCCGGGGGTCTGCTGGACTGCAAGAGGAACCATGCTCTCCACGGACACGGGGCGGGTTCAAGGAATGGGGGGTTGCCTGGTGGGTAGCACACTCCCAGGGCCACGCCCGGCAGTGGCCACCAGAGCCACTGCCTTTCCGGGTCGTTCTTCTGAAGGAGACAAGGCCAAGATTTCCCAGAATGCCCGGGGACTCTGGAGAAGAGGGGCCTGGTTTTCAGATGACAAGTGCCAGGAATAGGACCCAGGTGTCCTGAGTTCCAGTCGAGTGCTTCGCCCGCTGGACCTCGGAAGCACATTCCGTGAACGCCGCCCAGGTGGGGAGCAGCTGACTGGCACCCTGACCTTGGCCTGGCGGATGGCACTGGCAGTTCGGGCACCATGTGGCATCTCAGCACCCTCTAATCTGTTACTCACCCCTGTGCCCGGAGCTCCCCGCAGACGGCCCATCCCTGGCCCAGCCTCGTCACCCCCAAGTAGCTGCCACTGCCTCCCTGATTTGGGGAGCTGCCGTGCTGAGCACCTGGGGGGCATGATCCCTGGTGCCAGCACCAGGAGAGAGCTCCGCTGCCTGGCTGGAGCTGGGGTGCTCACGAGGGTGGTGAATGCAGACACCCCCGGACCTTTGGCCTCAGCCCACCTTCTCCTGGAGCCCTGAGCTGTTATGTGCCAGCTCATGGTTACCGTGAGGGGCTGTATTGCCCGCCCCCGCGCGGCACCCTCTGCTCTCAGGTAGGACTGCCCTGGGGTGGGCCCCCCGCCCCGTCGCAGCTCCCCCGGCCCCTCACGGCCTGTCTGCCTCTGATCCCCGCCCAGACATCAACGAGTGCTCGACGTTCGGGACCTGCTCCCAGATCTGCAACAACACCAAGGGGTCCTACGTCTGCAGCTGCGCCCGCAACTTCATGAAGACCCATCACACGTGCAAGGCGGAAGGTATGGGGGGTGCGGGCAGTTTGGCTACGTCTCCCTGGGACCCCAGCTCCCCCCTCTCCAGCCGTCTCAAACCCTTCCCGTCCCTGCGCCCCCAGCATCTGTCCCGCTCGGCGCCACGCGGGACGCGCCCCATGTCGGGAGGCCGCTGGGCTCCACCCGGCCGTGACCGCTGGAATGAGCCAGAGCCGCAGCTCAGTCCCGAGCCCGCCCCCTCCTAGCGGGCACCTCCCCTGTGCCCCCTCAGTGCTGCTCTCCACTGGGCCCCCAGCCGACAGCTCTCCCCCCCCCCCCACAGGCTCCGAGCAGCAGATCCTGTACATCGCCGACGACAACAAGATCCGCAGCATGTACCCCTTCAACCCCAACTCGGCCTACGAGCCAGCCTTCCAGGGCGACGAGAACGTGCGCATCGACGCCATGGACATCTACGTCAAGGGCAACAAGATCTACTGGACCAACTGGCACACGGGCAAGATCTCCTACCGCGAGCTGCCGTCGTCCGCCGCCTCCACTGCCTCCAACCGGAACCGGCGGCAGCTGGACGGGGGCGTCACCCACCTCAATGTGAGCGGGCGCTCGGGGCTCCGGGGGGCCGGGGCGAGCCGGGCCAGGGCGCTAAGGCCCCGCCTCTCTCTGCCTTCCAGATCTCGGGGCTCAAGATGCCGCGGGGCATCGCCGTGGACTGGGTGGCCGGGAACGTCTACTGGACGGACTCCGGGCGCGACGTCATCGAGGTGGCGCAGATGAAGGGCGACAACCGCAAAACGCTGATCTCGGGCATGATCGACGAGCCCCACGCCATTGTGGTCGACCCACTCCGAGGGTACGAGACGTCCCTGCCCCATCCAGACCCCCTGTCCCACCCTCTGTGCCTCCCCCCCCCCCGTATCCAGAACCTCCGCCCCGTCCAGACCCCCTGTCCCACCTCCTGCGCTCCCCCCCCATATCCAGAACCGGTGCCCCACCCCGTCCCACACCCTGCCCCCCCATCCGGCCCCTGCGCCCCATCCCGTCCCACACCCTGCCCCCCCATCCGGCCCCTGCGCCCCATCCCGTCCCACCCCCTGCACTCCCCATCCAGCCCCCGCGCCCCACCCCGTCCCACCCCCTGCCCCCTCAACCGGAACCTGC